CAAACTCATCCACAATGACTAGATTTCCTAAACTGAACTAGGCCCATTTACCTGCATTTAGCCCATATCCCTCCAAACATTTCCTATCCATGTACCTGCCCAAATGTACCTTAAATGTTGTAAATGAACCTGCCTCTACCACTTCCTCTGGCAGCTCATTCCATTCATGCTCCACCCTCTGTTTGAAAAAGTTGTTCCTCAGGTTCCTTTTAAATCTTTCCCTTCTCACCTTAAAAAATGCCCTCTAGTTTTGGACTCCTCTACCTGGGAAAAGACCTTTTGCTATTCACCTTATTTACTTTCCTCATGATTTCATAAAACTCCATAAGGACACCCTCAGCCACCTATACTCTAGTGAAAAAAAGTCCCAGCCTATCCTGTTTCTCCGTACAACTCAAGACTTCCAGTGTGGATAACATGCTTGTAAATCTCTTTTGCATCCTTTCCAGTTTAATAACATGTTTCCTATAGCAGGACAACCAGAATTGCACGTAGTTCTCCTAATGTGGCCTTATCAATATCTTGTGTAACCATAACATGATGTCCTAATTTAATGTTTTGACTGGTGAAGGTAAGCATGCCAAATATATTCTTCACTAGCCTGTCTACCTGTGACACCACTTTTAAGGAACTATGAACCTGCACCCCTAGGTCTCTGATCAACAACACTCCTCAGGGCCCTGCCATTAACTGTTGAAGTCCTACCCTAGGTTGTTTTATCAAAATATAAACCTTTGCGTTTACCTAAATTAAATTCCATTCTATCATTCTTTGGTCCACTGGTACTGTTGATCAAGATCCTATTGTACTCTTAGATAACCTTCTTCACTGTCGGCAATGTCACCAATTTTGGTGTCATCCACAAACTTACTAACCGTGCTTCCTATATTCTCATCCAAATCAGAAATGACAAACAACAGTGGACCCAACGTTGTGGCAGGCTACGGGACAGAGGTCTCCAGTCTGAACAAGAATAATCTAACACCACCATCTGTCTCCCACTGTCAAGAAAAATCTGTACTCATTTTGCTAACTTGCCCTGGATTCCCTGTGATCTAACCTTACTAACCAATGTACCTGAACCTTGTCAAAGGATCTTGTTAAAGTCCATATAGACAACCTCTACTGCTCTGCCTTTATACATCTTCTTGGTCATCTCTTCAAAAAACTCTACTAAATTTAGAAGTCACATGACATCAGTTCATTTGAAATCACATGCTTTCATAGCTTTCAGGTGTAGTCTCAAAGGTAAAGACTTTATGGTCGAGGATGAAGTGGATGAGTTGTAGGATGGCATCTGGGAATTGGCAGTTGTCAGTGTTGAGTGCTGAGGCTGTTGCAGTGATGCTGTCATCATGGGGGTCACTGGTGTAGAGTGCCAAAATGTCCTTTGTGATGAGATATGTTCCTGGTTCGACTAGTCTATCGGTGCTGAGTTTCCGTAAGAAGTCTGTAGTGCTGTTACACTTCACCTGATGATGGAGTTGCACTCTGAAAGCTCATGATTTCAAATAAACCTGTTGGAATATAACCTGGTGTTATGTAACTTCTGACTTAGTCCACCCCAGTCCAACACCAGCACCTCCACATCATGGCTCAATCAAATTTGTGAGACACGATTTCCCATACACAAAGCCATGCTGACTATTACTGATCAGTCCTTGCCTTTCCAAATGCATGTAGATGCTGTCTCTCAGAATCCTCTCAACAACTTACCAACCACTGACATTAGTTTCAGTGGTCTATAGCTGCTTGGCTTTTCCTTTCTTAAATAAATAATGGCACAACATCAGCCATCCTCCAGTCTTCTGGCCCCTCACCCATCGCTGTTGATGATACAAATATTTCTGTTAGGGGCCCACAATTTCTTCCCAAGCTTCTCACAATGTCCTGGGGTACACTTGATCAGGTACAGGGATTTATCGACCTTTACGCATCTCCTCTTCTGTAATGTGAACTCTTTTCAAGACATCACTATTTACTACTCCAAGTTCTCAGCTCCCATGTCTTTCTCTATGGTAAATACTGACAAGAAATGTTAATTTAGGAACTCATCCATCTCCTGTGGCTCCACACGTAGGCCACCTTGTTAATCTTTAAAGGGCCCTATTCCCTCCCTAGTTACTTTTTTGCCCTTAATATACTTGAAGAATCTCTTTGGATTCTCCTTTACTTTATCTGGCAAAGCTATCGCATGTCCCCTTTTAGTCCTCCTCATTTCCCTCTTAAGTATACTCTTACACCTTCTATGCTCCTCAAGGGATTCACTTGATCTCAGCTGCCTATACCTGACATATGCTTTCTTCTTTTTCTTAATCAGAGGTCAATATTTCTAGACATCCAGAGTTCCTTACTCCTGCCAGCCTTGCCCTTCTCACTAACAGGAACATGCTGACCCTGAACTCTCGTTATCTCGCTTTTCAAAACCTCCCACTTGCCAGACATCCCTCTACCTGCGAATGGCCTCAAATCAACTTTTGAAAGTTTCTAACACCATCATAATTGGCCTTGCCCCAATTTAGAACTTTAACTTGTGGACCAGACCCATTCTTTTCCATAACTATTTTACGACTGATAGAATTATATCCCAAAGTGCTTCCCCACTAACAGTTCAATCGCTCGCCCTCCCTTATTTCCCAAGAAGTTGTTGCGTTTTGCCCCTTCTCTACTGGAGCCATCTACATATTGATTGAGGACATTTTCCTGAACACACTTAACAAATGGCTCCTCATCCAAACCCTTAACACTATGGCAGTCCCAACCTATATTTGGAAAGTTAAAATGCCCTAGTACTACAACGCTCGTATCTTTCTAGCTATTTGCAATCTCTCTACATATTTGCACCTCAATTTCCTGCTGATGGGTTGGGGGGTAGGTCTATGGTACAATCCCATCAAAGTGATCACCCCTTTCTTTATTTCTCAGTTCCATCCATATAGCTTCACTGGGTGATCCTTCAGGAATGTCCTCTCTAAATACTGTTGATCAAAAACACTACTCCCCCTCCTCTCTTGCCTCCCCTTCTATCCTTCCTATAGCATCTGGGTTGACAGGAGGGAACTTGCCCCCTTTGTGGAGGGATCAATTACCAGGAGGCATAGATTTAAGGTAAGGGGCAGAAGGTTTAGAGAGGATTTAAGGAATAAATATTTTTACCTACAGATTTGTGGAAATCTGGAACTCTCTGCTGGTAAGAGTGGTAGAGGCAGAAACTCTCATGTCATTTAAGAAGTATTTTTTATGTGTACTTGTGAAGCAAAGGCATAGAAGACAAAGGGCCAAATGCTGAAAAATGGGATTAGAATGGTTAGGTGCATTTTCAATGCCAATGAACATTTTTTTGTGTGTGTAGACCTCTATGACTCTATCATTTTGACCTGTAGACCTCTATGACTTTGAATGGACCTCTCAAATTTCAAAATCAATGTTGACCTTACTCTTTGTACACTTTCTCTGTAGCTGTAACATTGTATTTCTCCTCTGATCGATTTACGTTTATGTACTTCGTATGGTATATTTAGCCTTTCTTGCATGCAAAACAAAACCTTTCACTGCATTTAGACACATGTGACAATAACAAATCAAATCAAATCAGATTACTCTGTGACTAACATGAGACTTCTCAAAGAAATTGGCATTGTGGCAGTTCCAAGGTACCTGGCGCAGACTAAGATCACCGATGACTTGTATATGATGGAATGGATGCCTTTTCTGTTGATCAAATCAGATATGTTACAATATGGAAATATCAATGTGACATGAATACTGTTCCATCCTACACCTGGGGGAAGCCAATGATATTGGCAAAACCTGCTGCCCAAACTGCAGCACTGACTTCAGCACAAGTAAATGAGATAAACTGATGTGACCTGGCTCAAATTGTTTCACTAACAGCCTTGATACATCTGTGGGTGAACGACAGAGAAATCCTAGACAGGTCACCAGTGAATCTTAGGAAGCAGCCAGTCACATAAATATTTAGTGCGGCTGTCATCTTGACAGTCTGCTGCAATAGGATGGACACCAAACCCTTAAGATGGCAAGACTTACTGCAGCAATTGGTATGGTTCCATGTGAATGTCTTGGCATCTTTAGTCTATGAACACAATACACCTTGCTTATCTGTAAGAAATGGCATCAATGCAATTGACTCTGGACGTTTTGTGTTTCCAGCACATTCTGAAGACACGTTCAGCTGTGACTTCTTCCTATAGCAGCTGTTCATTATTGACTGTGGGTTGCTACTGGTCCTGGGCTTATTGATGCAACTGCTTCTCCTCATTTCTCTGCATTTTCATAGCACCATGGTCACACAGATGTTGATTATAAGTCCAATGGCCGTGTGGGAAATATCAAAAACAGATCAGGTCCTTAGTAACGTGAACAGTCAGCATTCATATCGCATACAAATGACGGTTTATCATTGTCCACCATTCAGTGGTTTATGGAAGAGTCCAACAAGGAGGGCCATGGAATGCTTCCACATGGACATTTCACAGAGGACTCCTTGTTGCAATGAATGCAGCACAAGCAATTTCACACTAATGCAGTTGGAGTTTATAAGTGCTGTATGATTTCTGCTATCTATTCTCCCAATCCCACCCTCTCTCCCACATCACCAAAGGAAGATGAAAGGAAATCAGCTCTGTGTCCTTGTGTTGATCTTGGATTGTATTAGTGAATTGTGGTCCACACATGAGGCTATTAAGGTCACCTGTGTTAATTTCTGCTTCACAGAGCTGATTATGATCAATCTGTAATGACCAATGACATAGTGAAGAGTGTTTGTGACCAGTGTTTGTTTCCCACATAGTTGAGCTCTGCATGTATTTCACATGCAGGATACTACGATTAGAGGTGTCTTCTATCTGTATTGTTAAAGTGTGTGATTAATGCAATTATCCCTTGAAAAGCCTTACATTGCTCACAACAAGAGCCTGTGAGCTCAGACGGGAATAAAAGACTGACTCTGTTCACACCGTACATGATTGTCCAGTTTCCATTTTTATTGTGCATTTACAGTTCAGATGAGAATGGAAGGCAATGCATGTTACACTTGGCAAAGTAAGTTACAGATTCAGCTTGGTGATCAAGGGCTCTCCATCTCCAAATCTTCATGTTCCTTTCTTCTGGCACTCCCTGTCAACATGATCAGTCCTGCCCTTCCACAAATTCCTACCCAGCACTTTCATTTATGTCTTCATCTCCTAAAATTACCTTTATGTAAATTGTACTAACATAATTGAAATTAGGATGCAAATGATTAATTTTCAGCTCTATATCATGACCAGGATTTTATATCTATTATGCAAAGAAATTTTACAGAAGGGAATGACATATAAATGACATGAATTTGTGGCTTGGTCTTTGTGAGAACACAAGGGTTAAGACAGCGTAAAGAATAGTAAAGGGCAATTCATTCATATTAACAAGCATTTAACAAGAAGTGAGTATCAAATATTTTGTGTGCTGCTTTGTTGAACTGTGATATAGTTTAAGTAACCTGTAATTATAAAGGGTCAGGCAGCATCTCAATACCGATACTGCTGACTGAAGACTCTCAGAGAAAGAAACACTGTAAAGGAACCTTGAAACTTCTGATTTCATTGTGATCAGCAGAAAGTGGACCTTAACAATATTAAGGGTCTATCTCCTGATGATGATGCACAGCAACATATTGAACATTTTTGGGGATCCAGTAATGGTCAAAAGGGCACTTGAAAACAGTTCACAGAAAGACTGTCTGTGAGGGGTGATGTCATCTTTGAATATTCAAAGAGCTGACCATGTAGGGAGTAACTGGGGTTGGCAAAGGTACAGAGATGTATAAGAAACATAGGTTTCTCCTTTCTTGTTTGCTGTACAGCTCAATATGCCAGAAGTTAAATTTCTTTTTATCTTGTACATCTGATCAGCACTCTTGGTGTGAGCAGGAACTCTAAGGAATCTTAGGATATCATTCAGGGAATGAATAACAATTGTAGTCTCCTGATGGAGTTAAGGGAGAGAGCTGAAGGGCAAGTGCTAGTATTTCCATGAATTAAAGTAAAAAGATTGTAGGGCAATATAGAGCATGGACTGTGCACAAATCAGCTTTGCTGACCATTCAGGAAAATGGATGTGTAAACCTTTGGCCTCATGGTTTAAAGGAAGACAGGGAGCTGGCTGAAAAAGACCAATTGTCCTGTCATTTAAAAACATGAACTGGATTGAGAGGATTCAGGACCTGTGGAGTATTTATTGCAAAAAGAATTGAGTATAAATGTAGGGAAGTATCGCTGTAACTGTATAAGGCATTAGTGAGACTGCAGCTGGAATATTGCGTACAATTTTTGGTCCCTTGCTTGTGGAAGGAAATAGTTGCATTAGAGGAAGGTTAGAAGAGGTTCAATAATTTGATTCCAGATTTGAAGGGCTTGTCTAAAGAAGAGGCATTGAACAGTTTGGGCTTTACGCTCAGGTGTTTAGAAGAATGAGAGGAGATCTAATTGAGGTTTAAAAGATGCAAAGGAGATTGACAAAATAGATAAGAAAAGATGTTTCCTCTGTTGAGCGACCTAGAATGTGAGGTCATAGTTTTATGATAAGGTGTATCAGCTCTAAAACAGAGATGAGGAGAAATTGCTACCATCAAATCTATGGCAGTCTCAACCCCAGTGTGCAACAGATGCTGGGATATCGAGCAAATTTAAGGAAGAAATAAACAGATTTTTAATTAGTAATGGATTGAAGGGTTATGGACAGTGGGCAGGAAAGTAGACTTGAGGCCAAGATGAAATCAGTCATGATCATATCAAATGGTGGAGCAAGTTTGAGGGGCTGAATTGCTTACGGTTGCTCCTACTTCTTATGTTCTCATTAAATAAGAACACAACTGAATTGTAAGAAATCAATTTGTAACTTTTTTTCACCATCGATGCATCCTGCATGGGCTTATTTACCTGTTTATTAGTTATAAGTCACATTCTTGTGATTCTAGAATAAAGTTCTTCAAACATAATTCAAGAATGTTAAAATTCTGTTCCTTTGTCAGTGTCATGTTTTGGTCTATTCACAACTATATCCTTGTAACAGTTCAAATGTCACAGAACTCAGTGAGGATCCATTTTATAACATATTTAGTTATTATAAAGTGGAAAATGTATAATTTTGCTTAGTGCAACATTTAAAGTTCCTATGCATAATTCTTCACCAACATTGAGAAAGTAACAAATTTGCAGATTCTACTGTTTAGTTTGGCTGTAGAACTTGCCAGAAAAATTCAACATCATTGTGTGCTCAACAGAATTTGATCACTCATTTGCAAAGAACTGTGTTCAAGAATGTTCAATAAGCAATCCATAGTGTTAATTCAGTCATCAGTAGAAATATCTGAGTGAATTACTGAAATCAAAGATGACAAAACAAAATCCCAGTGCTCCAACATGTCAATTGCAAACACTTAAACTCCTTTAAAGCACTCGGTGCTTAAATGACATCATTAAAACTAAACTTAGTAGAAAGTAAACTGAAACAAAAGCTAGTTCAGTCAAACAAAAGGATCAGGGAAAACAAAGATCAGAGATTAGAATGTTTTGAAATTCTAGTTGCAAATGATTGTTTAACATAGACCAATCACTACAGTGACCATCATAGTCTTACTAGTATTAGTTGCATTGTTTTTTTATAATTGCTATACATAGTTATCATCATGTGAGATAGTACTTATGTCATTATCTATTATAACCTTCACACTCCGCTCCTCTCATTTCTCCCATTCTGTGGTTTCCCCACTTCCTCTCTTCTCCCCGTTTTCCCCCTTTACACTCATGCCACTCTTCCCCCTGTTTCATCCCCACTCTCATCTCTCTCCCATCTTATATCCTCCAGTCCCCTGCTATTCTTTATCACCAGTCTCCCTATTCTACTCTTCCCCCAACTTCCCTCTCTCAATCCTCACTGCCCTGTATCCCAAAGCCTTCCTCTTCTCCCCTCCTACCCTTTCCCCTAGCCTCTCACTATATTCTTCGCTTCTCCCACTCTTCCCTGAGTGGGTGTATGAGGCCCAAGTATGGGGAGTGGAGGGCTGACCCAAAATCCTGGGGAGAAGAGGATGAATTGAGCCCTGAACCGAAGGGACAGAGGTGACCACACCCCTCCCCTGTTCTCTTTCTGAGCCTTTGGAGGGAAAAGGGAGTTTGAGGACCAAGCCGTGGAGGAGGAGAGGAAAGAGGGGACCCTAACCCTGGGGAGGGGAAAAGACACAAGGCTCAGAGAGGGACATTATAGCCCTACACCTTGGGGGAGGTTGAGACAATGTGGGTTCAGCCATACAGATACAATCCATTTTGTTTTTGACTGGCCTGAGGGCTTAGTTTAAATTTTGGATGATTTTGACTCTCAACCCACTCTTGGGGAATTGGGGAGGGTTTACTGGGGAATTGGAAGGGTGGAAGAACCACTATGCTGTTATTCTGAAACATTAATTGAGTGGTAGAGCTTTTCTGGAAGCATTTTTATTCACAATAATTTTGGGACCTTGGTCCATTAGACATAAACCTTGCTGGAATCTCTGGTTGTCTTGTGCACTACTATAGCCTGGATGTTGGACAAGACCTCACCCTGGATTCCTGCCACCTACTGAGTTTGACATAATTGAGGAAGGCAAGATACAGGCGCTAAGTTAATGTGAGTCTTATTTGTTATCCTGGGTCAAGTTAATCACCCAACTCCAGGCTCACAATAGGCTGGATAGAAGACAAGTATCATAGAATTACAGAATTGTCATGGCACAGAGAGACCACTGGGCCTATTGTGCATCCACTGGCTTTTTTAAGTGAGCGGCTTAACCTTGTGCCAATCTCCTGCTTTATCCTCATTCCCTTGCACATTATTTTTATCCAAAAATCATTCAATGCCCTCTTGAAAGGGCCCAGTACACTGAACCTGGCTCAACTCATTTTGAAATTGTGCATTCCACACCCTAACTAGTCACTGTGTGGAAAAGCTTTTTCCTCACTTTATCCTTGTTTCTTTTGCACATTGCTTTAAATCCATGCCCTCTTGTTCTCACTCCTTTCGCAAGCAGGAAGAGCTTCTCCATTGCTACTGTATTCAGCCTGCTCAGGATTTTAAAAAACTTCAAGCAAATCTCCTCTCAGCCTTCTTCTCTCCAAGGAGAACAATTCCAACTTCTTCAATAAACCAAAGAATTGCCAACGCTGGAAGTCTCAACAAAATCTAAAATTGCTGGAGAAACCGTGTGGGTCTGGTAGCATCTGTGGAGAGAAAATAGGGTTAATGTTTCAATTCTAGTGATCCTTGTGTTCTGAAGAAGCATCATTGGACTTGAAAAGTTAACCTAACTTCTCCAATCTAATCTTATAACTGAAGTTTCTCATTCCTGGAACCATTCTTGTAAATAGCTACTGCACTCTCTCCAATAAATTCATACTTTATTTTCCTATAATGTGGTACCCAGAAATGTACACAGTACTCTAGCTGAAGTCTAAAACATATCATATTCAAGTTCAACATTACCTCCTTACCTTTGTACTCTGTTGCTATTGATAAAGTCAGTGACACTACATGCTTTATTACATGCTCTCTCCACTTGCCATGCCACTTTCAATGATCTGTGCACATTTACACCCAGCTCCCTAGGTGCTGCACCCCTTGAGAATTCTAGCTCCTATTTTACATTGTCTTTCGATTCTTTTCTTAAAGTGAACTGCCTCACATTTCTCTACATTGAAACCTCATCAGCCACATATCGACTCATTCCACCAACTTGTCATTGTCTTTTTTTGTGTTCCACACTATATTCCTCAGTTTACAATTACTTCAAATTTAGTGTCATATGCAATTGTCCTGTACACCAAAATCCAGATCATTAACATATATCTGTAATAGTCTTACTACAAGCCCTGGAGAACTCCACCACAAACCTTTCTCAAGCCTGAAACATATCCATTGACGATTACTCGCGTTTCCTATCACTCAGCCAATTTTCTATCCACATGGCTGCTATCCCTTTGAGACCATGACCTACAACTTTCCTCACAAGGGCATTATGAGGCACTGTATCAAATGCTTTCTGGAAATCCATGTATACCATGTTATATGAATCACCCTCGTCCACCCTATCCATTTCCTTGTCAAAAAACTCCAAACAGTGCTACACAATGAGTAGGGAGTTGCACTAGGTTTACATTACATTGAGTTTGGATCTTACGGCATCAGATCAAACATGATCAAAGTGACGTCCTGTTGTTTACCTCATGCCACAACCACCACCACTAATCCCCTCCCCATAACTCTCTAACCTTGGCTGATGGATTTGTGCTCTACCATGTTGAACACCACTTTGAGGAAGCGCTGATGGTAGCAGAGTACAGAATGTACTCTGTGAAGGAGAATTCAATGGTCATCCTCAAGAGTTGTTCAATATTGTCTCAACTGAGCTGGTTGAGTTCTAATGGATATGTTCTAGCAGTGTAGCTGCTATACTGGGTCTTCATTATTAGGCAGGGTCTTCAGTAGTATAGAGGAATCTGTGTTCTTTTTTCATGAATTACAAAAATGTTAGCATGCAGATATAGCGAGTAATTCAGAAGACAAATGAATATTGGCCTTTATTGCTCCAAGGATGGAACATACATATAACAGATTTTTTTTTTTGCTTTAGGTAATGGCTTTTGAGACCTCACCTGGATTACTTTGCATAGTTTAGGGAAGGATCAAAATGTTCATCAACTTACTCAAGCTATGGTACAACTCTAAAGCAGATGGCTCTAAACTCAAGCCTTCTAGCTGAAAGGTAAGGACACTACTTTTACACCACAACAGCACCATAGAGCAGTGGCTAGTTTCAATCTAGTGACCTCTGGGCTATGGGTCCAGTACGCTGCACCTGTACCTTTCTGTTGCTGGTTCAGAGAAGTTTTCTGCAGAGAATGGTGTTGTTTTATGAAGAAGTGATATGAGTTTTGGCCTGAATTCATTGGAGTTTAGCACAATGAGAAATGATCTTACTGAACCATAAACCTTCTGAGGAGGATGATAGGGTGAATGCTGAGATAATGATGTCCCTTGGAGTGAAAATCTAAAATAATAGGGTATAGTTTTAAATAGGGGTCTCTAATTTAAGATGGAGATTAGACTTTCTTCTGAAGAGGGCTCTTCTAAAAAGCATTTTGTTAACGGGATGCAGGTGGTGGAATTCTCCTCCATACAGATGTAGAGGTTGGGACCGGAGTACATTTAGTGCTGAGTTACACTTCTAATCAATGAGTGAGTCAAGAGTTATGGGACACAAACAGTTTTGATCTTTTTGAATAGCAGAGCAGGTTTGATGGACTGAATGGCCTACTCTGCTCTTGTTTTCCATGATCTAATATTTAGCTACAAAAGAAAAAATATTACTACATCAGAAATTTTATTGTTTGTGAAAAGTAACAAGATATGCACTTGATGAATTTAGAACAAATAGTGTTTTTTTTTACTGGCTGCCCTTTCAAGCTTTTGACATCCCGGCAATTTTTCCAGCTGCACTGTAATGTCCTGAATGCCGATTACTTTGTAACTTATGCCGAATCAATTATGTGACTGAGCCCTGAAATTTCCTAATTAAGACCATTGATACACGAATTAATCACATGCGTAGAAATCACTGCTGCATAGACAATTAAACAGAAGATGTTTAATTAAATGATTGGATTCTACCAAGTCTCATTCAATCATTACTCTGTCCTTGCTGACCTATGTCATTCCTTAGCCTTCAGTGCCTCCAATTTAAAATTCTCATCTGCATGGTTAAATCCCCTGATGGTTTTTCCCCCTCTCTTATTTTTACACTTACCTCCACAAAAACTATAAGACAAACACCCAAATTCTCCTTTCCTTCAGTTGCTGTTCTTGGTTATTTGGAATTCACTACGTATGCCTGTTCCAGCCTCTTTAGAATCATAGTTATGTAGCATGGTTACAGACCTCTTGGTCCAACCAGTCCGTGCTGAATATAATCCCAAACTAAACTAGTCCCACCTGTCTGCTCACGACGCATATCCCTCCAAACATTTCCTATTCATACACTCATCCAAATGTCTTTTAAATGTTGTAATTGTACCCATATCCAACGCTTCCTCAGAAGTTTGTTCCACATGTGAACCAACCAGTGTGTAAAAAATTTGATTCTCCTATTTTTTTAAAATCTCTCTCCTCTCACTTTAAAATGTGCCCCCTCATCTTGAAATCCCCTTTCCTTGGGAAAAGACAACTACCATTAATTCTATCGATACCCCTCATTATATGATAAACTTCTATCAGGTCACCTATCAATCTCCTACACTCCAGTGAAACAAATCCCAGCCTATCAAGCCTCTCTTTATAACACATATCTTCCATATTGGCAACACCCTGGTAAATCTCTCTTCTGAACCCTCTCCAGCTTGATAATATCTTTCTTATAACAGGACGACCAGAACTGGACACAGTATTCCAGAAGAGGCCTCACTAATGTCATGTACAACCTCAACATGAGTTCCCAACTTCTATATCAAACTTAGTTAGAGGCAAACAAAAAACTTCAGATGCTAGAATCCAAGATAGTCAAACAGGAAGCTGGAAGAAAACAGCAAGCCAGACAGCATCTAGAGGAAAGGAAAAGTCAAAGTTTCAGATATTACCCTTCTTCTGACTTGCTGACTTGCCTGGCTTGCTGTGTTTTTCCAGCCTCCTATTTGTCTATCCTACATCAAACAACTGAGGAACAAAGGCAAGCTTGCCAAACACCTTTTCAACCGCCCTGTCTGTATGCAATGCAAACTTTAAAGAATTATGTAGTTGAAACCTTAGGTCCATTTGTTCTACAACAGTACCCCAAGGCCCTAATTGATTGCATTTGCCCTACACTTGTTTACTGTACCAAAATGCAATACCTCACATTTATCTAGATTAAACTTTTAAGTCCATTGACCAATTTGATCAAGATCCCTTTGTAATCTTAGAAAACCTTCTTCACTGTCTACTATGCCATCAGTTTTGGTTCCGTCTGTAAACTTACTAACCATGCCTTCTATAATCTACCCCAAATCGTTTATATAAATGACAAACAAAAGAGGACCCAGAACCGATACCTGTGGAACACCGTTGGTGACAGACTTCCAGTCCAAAAAGCAAACCTCCACCACCACTCTGTCTCCTGCCTTTAAGCCAACTATGTATCCAATTGGCAAGCTGACCTTGAACCCATGTGACCTGACTTTACTAATTAGTCTACCTGGCAGAACCTCGTCGAAGTCTTTACTAAATTCCAAGTAAACAATATCCATTGTTGTGCCCTCATCAAATTTTTATTAACTTCCTCAAAAAACTCGATCAAGTTTGTGAGACACGATTTTCCTCGCAAAAAATAAAGCTGACTATCCCTAATCAATTTTTGCCTACCTTTTATAATCACCTCCAACAATTACCCACAACTGAAGTCAAACTCTCAGGTTTATAGTCCCCCGGTTTCTCCTTACAATCTTTCTTAAACAAAGATACAACATTATCCATCCTACAGTCATCAGGCACCTGACCCATTGTTATAGATGATGCAAATATTTGTGCAAGGGGTCTTGCAATTTCCTCCTCACTTCCCACAATGTTCTGGCATATGTTAGATCGGGCCCCAGCGATTTATCCACCTCTATATTCTCTAAGATCTTTCAACTTCCTCTTTTGTAATGTGAACTGTTTTTAAAACATCAAAATTCATTTCTCTGTATTCTCTAGACTCCATTTCTTTCTCCACAGTAAAATCTGATGCAAAATATTCAATTAGTATCTCCCATCTCCTGGGCTTCAACCTTACTCTTTCTTATTACAAGGTTTTTTATTTAAATAATATCACTTTAACTCAGCTTTTGTCCATCCAGTTCCTTTTTTTGCTTCAGTGTATATCTTCAGGATTTTTTTCTTTTTCATTGGTAGTATATAAATACAAACTATTGTTGATTTTGGATCAATAACTTTAATTAGTTAGATTAATTTGATAACCAAGTATATAAGCAATAGTGAGGACTCTTGTAGTGCAGTGGTAGTGTTCCTACCTTAGTTAATACAAGCCTGACTTCAAGTCCGACCTGCTTCAGAGATCTGTCATAATACCCTTCAACAGGTTAATTAGAATAAAGTCTATAATTAATCAATTTAATCAGAACAATCGTTGATATTTGTCCAGTTACCTTTAACGGTGTCAAATTTCATAGGGCTCTCAAATGTCACTGGTAATTGTCATTTAAGTTACTTTTCAAAAATCACTAAAATGACAATACGTTTACTCAAAATGGAAATAGTCTTTGTTTTTTTCAAATTTTGCTTCACTATAATAAATCTACATCTTGTGAATGAGGCGGGTGTGAAGCAGATTGATACTTCACAGTAAAGTAGTAATTTAGAAAACTGATGTTCAATAGAACTTTGCACAAATTAGAACTTACTGCCTCACTGCTAACTGTTTCTACATCGCAATTACCTCCTTAAAGCATTGATATGTTTCAAAAGTCTCCGCAGCTAATGTAAGAAATCATTAATTGCCAAGAGTGACATGTTAGTGAGATGTCACACAGCAGCAGAAAATATCCGATCAAAAACATCCTTGATGCAATGTCATCTGCTGGTTGAGTCCATCATTAAAATGATAGTTTGTAGCTTGAATCCCATGTTGTATTAACAGACTTGCATTTTCTGCTATCAGTTGATAACTTCTACTCCTATCTCCCACTGCTGTAGAAACTGCTCTATTTGCTTCTTACAGCAATTGGACCTGTTATATAGTCATGAATAGCCACAAAATTTCAACTGCATTAGTACTTTCTGGAGTGGCTGGAGAATGTCCATACAAGTGCTGGCTTGGATGAGACCAGCAGGAAGCTCTGGGCCATACAGGGTTATGCAGCAGTTTAAAATTCAAAATGTGAGCTTGCCATGTTAAAGTAGACCTCAATAGCATTACTTAATCGGAGGGTCACTGCATTCGGCCAGTCTGTCAACCACAGAACCTCACCAATCAGATATGCACATAGGGTACACATGATGAACCACAAGCACAAATAACCTGATATAAAAAGAACTTACCATTCAGGTTTGGAAATATATCACTGTTTCTTTATTGTCAATGGATCAAAATCCTGACATGCTCTCCTGATGGCACTGTGGGTCTACCTAGATCGAATGGCAGCATGGTAGCTCAGTATTTAGCACTGCGCATCACAGTGCCAGGGACCGGGATTCGATTCCAAACTTGGGTAACTGTGTGGCGTTTCTCCATTCCTGTTTCTGCATGAGTTTCTGCAAGGGTGCTCTGGTTTCCTTACTCATTCCAACGATGCGCAGGCTTGGTGGATTCACTGTGGTAAATGTGGGGTAACAAGGACAGGATAAGGGGCTGGGTCTGGGTGGAGGTTTGGTGCAGACTTGACGGGCTGAATGGCCTCTTTCTGCACTATAGGGATTCTATGAATGGACAGCAGTGGTTCAAATGGCAAGTCACCACCTTCACAAGGCCAAGTAGGGATGGGCAATGAAATCCACATCCCTTAAATGAACCGGAAACACATAAGATGCAGAGGAAATAATCAGAACATGGCTGATATATAATACTGAACATCAAATTTTCAGTGATACATGTGTTCAGAAAAGAAGCAGGACACCACGTACAAACATATATACATAGGAAATAGGAACAGGAATAGATTACTCAGCCCCTCAAGCCTCCTCTGCCATTGAATAAGGTAATGTTTCAAATCCCACATTTCCATATGTGCTGATAATCTT